CTTACTGTGTGTCTATGCTGTAATCCAAGGTGGCCAACTTGTAGGATGAGTGTCACAAGTGGCATGGTCAGCATCTGTGTGTGCAGTGCAGCGAATCAGGGAGAGGGCGGGTAGCACAACGGCATACAGGGCAGGGAGCAGAAAGCAGAGCAGCTGATGGGGTAGGAAGCACAGGGAAGGAGCAGAAAGCAGAGCAGCCAGTGGGACAGTGGAGGGAGATAGGAGTGATACTCAGCAAAGACAAGGGACTTAACTTGTGGCACACCTGCCAGAAAGGTTGGCATCCAATTGCTATAGTCCAGAAATGTGATCACATGTATTTGACCTAAGATAGCTTTAAACTAGTTTATTTGGGCATCAATAATAGAGTAACCACTGAATAGCACAGGCTCTTTGCACTATTTGCCAAAGAATTTACCTTGCCAAAGAATTTACCCCGGTCTTGGGTGGCTTTTGCAGCTGGAAAACTGCAGCTGGGATAGTGAAATATCATGCTTCTGCAGCCTCCACTATTATTAGATTCAGGTATGTCTGCCTGAGCTGCACTCGCACCTTTGGATTGTATAGTAGACCAGGGCTGTCCAACTTTAAAGTGGCTGGGGGCTGCATGCTGCCTTAGTCATGGGCCCTGTGCTGCATACCGCAGGGGTCCCATGTTGTAGGGACTGCATGCCATATGGGCTCCCAAAACCCGTGCCATGTATAGCTCTCCTGCTGTCTGAGCAGTGTAAGGCCCCCACCTCAGAAGTCCCCTTCTGTTGCTGCCACCGGACTGGCTGAGCACCGGCTAATTTTTTTTCGGGTGAGTGCTTGAGCCCCAGAGCACCCATGGAGTCAGTGCCTACGCCCTTGCCCCAAATGCTCCAGCTGCCCCTGCAGAAGCAGAAGCAGCAGTTGGAGCATGGCTATCTTTACCTCCTCAGTTTGTGTCCAACTCTAAAAGATGAAAGCAAGTAGAAAATTGATTTTTTTTTTTTTTTTTTTACTGCTTTTTCCTTGCTGGCAATACTTTGAATGGAACAACATGTTGTTGTATCTCATAAATGGAATCCTTAATATAACTATTTTATTGGCTCAGAACAGCCAAGGATTATTAAATCCATTCATCCTGTGTGCTTTACTTTCAAAATTATAGTACGTAGAGTTCTGGTTCAAGACAATTTTTTCTCTGAGGCTGATCTTAGTAACTCGCTGTGCACTTCCTTCCTGATTCAAATTAAATTCATGATTAATCTCTCAGGTGTTGATAAGAGCCAAGCATTTAAAACCTACTTATGGGCTGATGCTCTTCCAGATGGGTATTTCTATGCTCTTGGAACCTAGGTACATTATAGTAAAACCATGACATTTTGCTTAGGGAAGTACACATCTTTTGACAGATTAATAACAACACTATAAACCATTTAATCTGATTATTTTGTGCAGAGTAGATGAGGCTGCTCTAATTTACACTGGGGACATGAGAGACACACAGAGAAACCTTAATTTAAGCAAAAACTAAGCTGGCTGAGTTAAAGCCTGGGCTTCCCTTTAGGTTTTAATTTGACTAATTTAGGACAACCTAAAATACAACTTGCTTTCTTTGAGTTTTAGAGACTTGATTAGGCAGCACTAGACTGAATTTACATGCACAATCTAACAATACGTTTTTAAATCCTAATCCAGGCAAAGCCTCACTGCAAGGTAAAAATAAGCAACCAGGATAAAGATGTGTATGGACAGTTACACACAGTCCTGTAATGGATACTGTTGCATGGCAAATTACTTTTACTGAGAACAGAAGTTAAGTCTACCAGGAGCACCCACCTAATAAGCATGAGAAGGCTAGTGGTTAAGCCAAATAAGAATGAACATGCTTATTCTCTATTTATGCCCTGAGTCATTTTTACCCTGTGCACTTTGAAGCCTGTCTCTGTTGAGGGCACACCCCAAGGAGGTGGGGGAGTTCTGGTTCCCATGGTTATTACAAGTATGGATGTGCATGCAGAAGAGGCATGGCACTTGCTGCTGCTGCCTCCTGTGAGATACTATGTTTTTAAGGACAGGTTTTCAAAAGAGCTCAGCATGTGCAATGCCTGTGTTCCCAGAAATCTGGGCATGTTGCAATGGCAGCTATTGGGTGCTGAAAGCTTTTGAAAGTCAGGCTGTTCTTTGGAAGTCTGAATGAGAGAGAACTGGTAAGAATCTAGCCTAAAGGGATTTCTTAAAATTTGTCATGCGCTTAAGTCTTTTGATGAATTGATGTCTTAATTGATTCCTAGCTACTAATAAATGAGACCTGTAATAATGCAAACCCATGAATAAAAGCGACTGCATTTACCTACAGTACCACATCTTCATCTCCAGTGCGGAGGCATGAAAAGGGGCTATAAAGCTGTCTTAACAAGGCAGATGGAAATACTGGGGTAGTGCCCTACTTGGTTTAGGAAGCCTCATCCCAAGTATGCGCAAGGAAGGGGCTGTGGTCAGAGCCCTCTTGTGCGCCGAAGAGGCTCTGGTGACCTAATAGTCCTTTATTATTTAATACTTATATTACAGCAGTGAATAAGGCCAACCAGATCAGGGTGACATTACCCATCAGTGGACGTTTACACATGTATTTGTGCATGCCTAAACTTAATGCGCCTTTGCTTAAGGCACATTAAGGCGATGTAGGTGCACATCTACATGTGGGTACAGTAATGCACGTTAAGGCACATTAAACTTAGGCATGAATAACTAAGATGCATTAACACATGTGCAGACCTGCTAATGCGCATTAACACGTTGTGCATCCATTGACACGCACGTTAATGCGCATTAGCACATCTACACGTGTACTAATGCGATTTAGCTATTCGCGCCTAAATTTGATACCTGCTTTATGCAGGTATCAAGTTCAGGCTTAAATCACCATTTTTAAGTTGCATTAAGGGTGCGCACATGTAGATTCGTGCCCTAAATGTGCCTTAAAAATGGCGATTTTAGGTTAAGCCTGCTTAAAAGAAGCACATGTAGATGTGCCTACTGCAAACTGAAGTAGCCACTGGGCTGCTCTAAATACTGCCAAGGCTCATGTTTATCTCTGGTCAGTCGCAGAAGGGGCAGGCTGTCATGACTGCTTTTCTCCACTCTTGGCTCTGCTTGAATACTGCACCCAGCATGGCTGACAGCTGGACCTGGAGAGCTGAGGCCAACCACCACCCTTCCAACCTTTTGGAATAAACAGGAAGTTTTAGAAAATGTATTGCAAGCTCCTGGTCTCTTTGACATATGTGGCACATTTAATGCTAGGTGCCAGTGGGGTTGTTCTGGATTTTTTTTTTGCCTGCATCCTTGGGTCCAGTACAAGCTGTGAATGAAGGTTTCTGTCAGAAGATGGAAGAGAAGGGGATTGTGGAGCAGAACAGAGCCTCTTAGAGCAGCAGTGGCTGGAGATATAAATAGATATTTCTATAAATGTGTGTGTGTGTGTGTGTGTGTGTATAGGGGTGTGTGGATAAATACGTGTGTGTGTATATGTGCATATCTGTGTGTATATGCATAGTTGTATACGTGTGTGCATACATGCCTACTTGTGTATACATGTATGTATAGTGTGTGCCCATGTGTGCACATACGTGTGTATGTATATACATAACACACGTGTATAGTGTGTATGCATGCATGTGTATACACGTGTATGTATTCACACACATTTATGTGGGTGTGTGTATACACTCAGCCATGTGTGTATACGTGTGTGTGTGTGTGTGTGTGTGTGTGTGTATTTCTAGGTCTAAATGTGTATTCCGGGCTAGGTCTATCTGCCTGCCAGAGACCAGACCTAATTTCTAGGTCTGCATGTGTGAGTCTCGGTGCAGGCAGCGCTGGGAGACGCCCGTGGTTGCCGCCCCGGCGCCCAGGACAAGGACCACGTCTGTCCCTCTGGACCAGGCATCTGCCGGGGCGGAGCGGCTCGGACCGGCGGCTGCTGGAGCGGGCGGGGCGGTGCGGTGCGGTGCGGTGCGGGCGGCTCCTCCCAGCCGCGCGCGGGGGGGACGCGGGGCA